GGAAGAGTGGTGGTGTAAGACCCTTTGTCCAGGGTGGGACACACACACACCAGTTCGTAAGAGTGTAAAGCACATCTTCCTGCCAAAAACACGTGTATTTGGACAACTCAACATCGCTCGACACAGTGTTGAGGCCTTTGGCACACAAGAAGGCTCGATCTTTGCAGCTGCCTTCCACGTACTGATACACAAGTGCGAAGACGCTTAGACAACTGCGAAGATGCATCGAACTCACCCGACTTCAACTCACACCAGGCTCCAAGTGCTCTCCTCTTTTGTCGGGCTCCGATCGTCCCATCTCCGACCCGGTGACCGGTGGTCTTCGACCCCACAGGCACCGGCACCCACCCACCCCAACCCCCCACCTGCTCCTCACGGGTTCGGTGGGGCCAGGAGCCCATCCGGGCTGTTTGATCTTCACCGGGGAGGCCCCCGGGCGGTCGCGGGACCCACGGAGCCCGGACGACGCACGACTCCTTCGATCCGTGGGTCCAAAGACCCGGTAGCTGCGTGCAGGACCTCATCAAGCCGAAGAGCAAGGGCATGGTTCATTGGATCGAGGAGTAGACTCCGGGATGGGTGACCGGAGTGGTGTGGAGGCAGATTTTGACCAGTAGAACCCAAGAAAATGGTGCAGAAAGAACATGATAGGTCCTTAGGTTTGGAGTTCTGTTCTGCGCAGGCTGGAGGTCAACTTGGGGTGACCAGTTTCATGATGTGACGAGATGAGATGGATGTGTTCAATCCATTCTTTTCCCTTTCTATGCGAATGGGCAAGGCTTTTGTAGCCACACTTCCATAGGTCTCTCCATTTCATGTCCCTGTTCTGTTTGGGAAGAACTTTGCAGTTGAACTGGGCACTGGAGTTTTTTGGGACAACAGGCATGACAAGATCCATCCAACACAAGGCAGGAGCAGAGTACTTTCCCTTTCCCAGACACATGCAGCCAGTTACAGTTCTCCAAAGTGACCGAACTCGATGTTCGAGTTGGTTCGGTCACTTACTAGGGCCTGTAGAAAGTCACAAAACAGGGACTCCAAGAAGGTCACGAACCGAAGAAACCGGCAATCATCTTGTTTCCATGTTTTATTTCTATGTTTTTAATCCCGTTGGTCTTCACACCACTGGGCTCTGTTTTGAGGCAACGACCGGTCATAGCATCCTCGTGCCCTTTTTTTTTGCGACAAGACGACATTTGTTGCGACAGGAGCAGCCGGCCATGGCCGCGTCCATGGCTTTGGCACTCACCAGTACCATCATCGCCCTGCGCAAATCCATCTGAGCACCGGTTTGGATGCTCTGAAGACGTCCGAACTGGCGGAAAGAGTGACAAACATGGCTTTGGAAAGGGTTCTGGAGAAATCTCTCCGAGATGGTGAACCTGCTTTTGGGAGATGACACATATATCCTGGACGCAAAAAAGGGGATTTTTCGACAGGGAAGATGATTTGGGAGGACGTTTGTTGTCCAGGGAGGACGTTTTCTTGTTCTGCTAAGATGAGGTCTGTTTCTTCTGTGATCAGGCACGACTTCACAAATGAGGTTGCCGGGTCTCAAGAGATTCAGCACCAGGTTCAAAACGGTTTCAGACCAAAGGCAGCTGACAGAAGGGTGGAGACCAGTGGGTCTCAGCTGACCTGTGTGTCCTGTTCCGATGGCTGTGGAAGCCTCTAGTTCATGGCTGCTGATAGCAGGCAAATTTGGTTCCAGGAGGACTCGCACAATGCCGAACATTTGGTCATTAAATGCATCGAAGGCTATAGTTTAGATAATGATTCCCGCTGCGACTTGACACAAGGCATTCTGCATGTTTAGGAGATGCCTCTGTCTCAGCAACACAGAAAGGCAGAGACAGTCGGCAATCCAGAGGGTGATTTATTTGCATCTCGCTCTCAAGTTCTTTCGCCCGAAGGAGCTTCCAATGAATCAACGGAAATCGGCATGAATGGCCCAGCTATATATATATATACAATACATACACACATAAACATAACTATATATACACAGATAGACAGACCTTTCAACCTGATGCTGTCTTTATCCATCGACTGCCCGACCGTGACAGTCTCCAATCGGATCTTCCATGTGGGCCCGGAGGTTCTGCGCCAAAACCAGAGTCTCGGGCCTTCAAGCTTGGATCCCTGGAATGCTTCTTTCGGGGCCCTCCCTGCGAAGTCCACTGGGAGCAGCGCCACCCGTTTCAAGTGGCACACCGCCCACCGACCCAACCCGCCGCCTTCCGGCGTCGTCCCCCCGCTCCGCCCGGCCGCGACCGGCTTCGCCCCGGTCGACGGTCGTTGCCCGGCACTGTTTCGCGGGGGCGGTCGACGGTCGACGCGTGGGGTCCGTCCGGTGTGCCGCTGGCAGCTGACAGTGGATCGAAGCCCGACTCGAGCGCTTCAAGCCGAGCGAAAAGGAGGGAGACAGTGGCAGGGGTCTGAAATGCTGACGAAAGAGGTCTTGCCATTTGGATGATACAAGAAGATCCTTGAAGATCAATATACATGGTGCAACCAGCAACCAGGTAGGTTTTTTCAACGCATGAGACAATGAAGGGCTCTTGGATTGCATGTTGCCATCGTAGGCCTTCTCCTTGCTTTGCTTTGCTTTGAAGCCATCCGATCCGTTTCAATTCAGCATCTCTGGCATCTCTCCCACTTTTCCAGAGCCTCTTTAGCAAAGTTGGGGTCGATAGCAAGAAGCAAAGCCATCCAAAGCCTTAGCACATTTCCCGTCCTTGATCAACGGGCCGTTTCGGCTTTGACGGCGAAGTTGGAGAAGGAAAGAACAAAGTCTGAAACCACAGGCAAAGCTTGCTTGACGCAACACCTGGACAGGCCACGGGCATCGGCTTGTTTTCGATAGAATCAAAATGGATCCTGGCATTGACTGGCCTCTTTTGTGATGAAGGTAAGAACACTAAGAACATCTAAGAACATAGAGCGAAAGGTCAACCATCCGCAAATCAGCCAAGTCCAAGTCCAACAGCTCCCGGTGGCGGTCGGGCTGTCGTCATGGCCGACGAGAGGAAAGGTTGGTGTCTGGGCGGAACCCGAACATTGAAGCCAAGATATTCCTAGAGCCAATTGGACCTTTGTTTTGATAGGACAAGACCATATTTTGGGTGGTTGGTGATTCAGATATAGAGGTGACTCAGGTTCTCGGTTGGTTTTGACTCTGGACTATTCTGGATATCTTTGGGCAGTCTTTTGGTCAAGATAGGTGCAAAAGATGGCCCCCAAATTATCAGCAGTTTCGTGAAGCTTCCAAGCCAGTGTTCTCTTTCCCAAATGAACTCTACTCTACTAGAGGGGAGGGGAGCACCGAGCCTGGCTCCATCCCTTCGGCTGGTAGGATGGCGCAATGGATTGCATTTAGACCGAATTGGATGGACGGAAGTGGACGGAAGTCACCGGTCCCCGTTCGTCAAAACCGTCACGGGCGTTTCTTCTCCGCAGTTCAGTGCGTGCGTCCACTCTCCAAATGTAGACTGTTTGATGAACCAATTCCTCCCCAATTTGGGATGGTTAATCAGATGGCAAATATATCCATCCTGTGACAGTATGGTAGTGTATGATACACTGTGGTCTAGGTATTGTACATCCTGTTCATGTCGTGGAACGGGGGACCATACAGTGTGGACCATCTTTGACGTTATGTTGCTCTGGCATTGTGGCATCCTGTGTCGGGAGTAACCACTCAATGTGTGTAGGACAGGACTGGGGGTGCTGGCCTGCAGGAGAAACCCAGGAAGGTGCCACGAAGTCCAAACTGCTTAAAAACAGGAAACTCGGTAGAGAAGCAGGGTTTCCACTGTATTTATTATGGGTCGCCGTTTGCAGTGTCTTCTCCTGATCCACTTCTCCACCTCTTCTTTTGGATGTAAAACGCTGCAGAAGTTGACCTTGTTGAACAAGACGCCCCCGCTGCTAACAGCGGTGTCATGCTGCTTCAGAGGGGGGTCATTTGAGGTGGTACACGTGCACAGCACTGTTTCGCTTTGAGGTATGTGGTGCTCATCGTCAACGGTCCCGACCTGACCTACGTCCTTGATGATGCGAGACTCGTAGGTGAGGCGTGTGTGCACTGTGGCCTTTGTACCTCGAACTTCGAAAAAGGGGCAGAGACCCACATGGAGCCGGGCCTTTGCATGACAATTTTCCTCTGATGTGAATCTTCCCGGGCGCACCAAAATGGAGAGGTACAAAAGCTGAAGCCCCGACTCGTCCAGCAGTCCAGCATTTGCCGCGAGTTGGACCGGTCCACTAGGTCCAACCAAAGTCGGTCTCCTGGTGGTGACCCACAGCCATGTTTGGGTTTGGGTACGGTGAATTCGAGGTGTTGGCTTGGGGTGGCAGCCATACCAGAAGAACATCTGGAGCAATTGAGTTCACCCCACCCAGTAGCTGCCAGTGGTTTTGAGGGGAGTAACTGAAGGTGCTTCTCTGCGATTTTTGCTGAATCCAAGGTACTCGAGATCAGGTGGTGGAAATCTTTGATGAAACGGAGACTGTGATCATAAAGAAACTGGAAGAACTGGTGGCGAAGCTTAAAGAGAAGGACAAGGTTTTTGTCTGGCATTCTGGCCATGGCTATGGTTGTCAGGATGGCCAGCATAAGGGCTATACTCTGCTGATACCAAAGGCTGAGCAGTTCGGATCATACTTATCGGATGACGAAGGTGAGGACTTGGGAGACACTGTCAACGGTCGCTTGCCTTTCCTTGGCCTTATTTTCCTTGTCCCCTCAAGCCCCATTCGCACGGTTTTCTTAGACCGGGTTTGACGAGGAAAGATCAGCTCCACCAAGGCTTGTGGCTAGAAGATACGCTCTTCAACCTCTTGAAACACCGGACTAAATTGACGGTTTGGTGTGTGGTTGCAGCCTGCCGGGAAGCAAAACCTGACAGAGACGTTTGGCATGAGAAGAAGAGTGGAAGACGCATTGTCGCGCCCAACATTCATGAGCCCTGGCCGTCAACAGGCCTGAATAGGTATATCTTCATGTATGCCTGTGCTGTCGGCCAGGCCATGTTGGACACTTGCATTTTTGCAAAGGCATTTTGCTTCAACCTGGCATCTGGCCCACCAAGTCTCGTGGATCTGCAGGACTCCTTGCTGACTGACAGTGAGCTTGTGACCTTCGGAGACCTTCATGCACCGCCCGTCGTCACAGTTGGTCAAACTCGCGGTCTCGACCTTGAAACTCAGAGATTCGTCACTCGCGAGCATCTTGAGTACGACCCTGCTTGGATTCATCCCATGCGAGAGGCTAGACTAGTCTCGGATCACTTACATGCACTTGCAAACGATGAGATCTTGAAGTCAGACAATTCAGATCCCTATATGCCCTTTGCCCACCATAGAGCCATTGCTGCTGAAATCATTGAGCGATTTCATGATCAAGCAAGCAATTATCACAGGTTCGAAGCGCAACTCCGCATCATAGCCTGCAATGACCTAGATCAGGTCAAATCAATGCTGTCTCAGACCTCTTCTGGGAGTCTTGGCTATGCACAAACAGAGTGGGAACCTCCGGATGAGAATGACGGCACTTTGGATATGCGGGTGTTGCACAATTTGCCAGATGATGTGGTTGGTGCGCTTGGCAAGGCAATTCGCACATGGAAGGAGGAAGGCAAGGGCCTTCCTTCCCGGCCAATTTTTGATATGCTGCGGATGCTGGGAACCTACTACACTGAGAGAAGATTTCCGGATGCACGACTTGAACGAATGGGCGAAGAAGACGAGGTCAAGAATTGCCTGGAGGAGTATTTCTATATACACAATATTCCTGGAGTTTTGTCCTAAGTATCATAGGGATTGTACCTTTTTTTTGCTCACAACGTCTGGCACCCGTAAAGCCAATGTGCTGATTAGGAGGCAATTTTCTATACTCCAAATTGCAGAAGAGATTGTGACATTTGTGCATCAAATTGTGGGGCCAAGGAGTGTCGGCTGTAAGCCAGTCCGATGGAGAAGACCTCACGGAAGCACTGATGATGACGGTGCAGAAATGCCAGCAGGACTTGGGCCTTTGTTTCAGCATTTTGGTCATGAAGTACATGTGTCCCAGTTTTTGAGCGAACCTTCTGGATCTATGTCATGTGTCTTGCCGATCGACAGCTGGTAGGATCCTTGTTTTGACCAGTAAGGCATAGAAGAGATGGAGGAGATTCGCACGTACATCTTGAAAGGCAGCTGCTGGGTGCTCCTTTTGTCTCCCGTGAAGCTAGATGCAGATGCACTGAACCGCAGTCTTGGAGACTTTGTCGACCAACGACGGCGCTCTTCAGCAGCCTGGGCCTTTGCCGAGAGTCCGCGGATAATGCCCGCTTTTGGTTGTGAAGGTTTCTACGAATTGGTGTGCCAGGTGGAAGGGATGAGAGCAAAGGAGGACATTGTGATTTCGAAGCTTTGAAAGCAGCAGCAAGTCACACACACACACACAGACAATTACCCTGTGGATACTGCAGATGGTTTCTTGTTACGCACCCATAAATACACTAGATTTGTCACAAAGACCTAGAAGGGGTCAAGCTGAAGGGTTCCCTTTTAGCAGGTCACATACCCATTTCAAGCCAGATCTTTTGACCTTTGCTGCGACACCTTCTCTTCAGATTTGTATCTGAAGTATCTCCGAAATTCTAGCATCTCCCTTGAGTATCGCCCAAGTAGCAGTAGCGGAGTGACAAAAAATGCTACTCCGCTACTGCTGAGTCTGGGGATATCTCAAAGATG